AGCTGTGCCCCAGGGCTCTGACGCTCGGTGAGTGGGGTGCAGGGCTGGGCATGGCCCCTGGAGCTTACCTCTTCTCTGCTCTGGCAGGGGCGGTTTCCGGGCCGGCTTCTTTGAGCTTGTGAACATCGACCCAGCAATCATGAAACGCTTCTGCTCCTGGGGAATGTCCATCTACCCCCTGATCCTGGGCCAGGTCCTGCTGGATGCCCTGATGGAACCGCCACTGCCCGGGGAGCCCTCTTGCCGGACCTTCATGGCAGTGGGTGCTGCATGCCGCATGGCAGGGCGGGAGGGCTGGGGGAGTGGGGAGGGACACAGCTGCAGGGCGCAGGGAAAGGCGGGCAGGCTGGTCTGGGACTGGGGATGCAGCACCTGGGTGCAGGGGGAGAGGCAGAGACGCTAGGCAGAATGTGCCAGAGCACAGGTAAGGGGGGAGGACACAGGTGGCTCCGGGGCATGGCAGGTGAAGAAGGAAGAGGGCATGGTGCTGGGGGTTGGCGCTGGGAACAGCCAACAGCTGGGGTGTGGCAGAATCAGGGTGGCTTGAGGGATGCCAGAGTGGTGCCCAGCTCAGGAGGAAACAGTCTCCTCTGCTGCTGAGCTGAGCTCATCAGACAATGCTCGGCCTCGGCAGGTGTCGGTGAAAGAGCAGCTGGGGGCGGGCACAGCTCGAGGCTGCAGGCTAGTGGTTAGAGCAGCATCTGACAGTCAGGGTCCGGGTTCTACTCCTCTCTCTAAGCGGGAGAGGAGTCTAGTGGTTAGAGCAAGGAGCAGGACTCCTGGGTTCTATTCCCAGAGGAGAACACCTACCTCCTGCACTCAGCACTATGGTTCTCTCTCTCGGCGGCTCCCAGGAGAAGCAGGCAGTACTGAGCGACCTGGCCCACAAAGCGCAGCTGACCCAGGAGATCTTCAGCCAGGTGCCCGGGATCCGCTGTAACCCCGTGCAGGGCACCATGTACTCCTTCCCCAGGATCCAGATCCCAGCCAGGGCTGTGCAGGAGGCCCAGGTGAGAGCCGGGCATGGAGCAGCCCAGTGGTGTGTGGGGAGCAGGCAGGCCCAGCCCGGCCAAGAGCGTGGGGAGTGACCCTCCTGATGCCCTTTTTTCCTCCTAGGCCCTCGGTCTGGAGCCTGATTTCTTCTTCTGTCAGAAGCTGCTGGAGGCGACGGGGATCGTACTGGCCCCAGGGAGCACCTTCGGGCAGCGCCGGGGCACCCACCACGTCAGGTACTGCAGGACGAGGAGTTCCATTTCAGTGACAGGAGACAGGGTTGGGGCAGGTGACAGAGGACGGGTGGGGTTTGATTAGGGTGACAGGGTGGGGTTCAGTGACAGGTGATGGGGTCAGGTTCAGTGATGGGTGGCGTTTGGTGATGGAGGTGTGGGGATGGGTGAGAAGGTGGGGTTGGGTGATGGGGTCAGGGTCAGAGATGGGTGTTGTTTGGTAATGGATGCAGTGGGGATGGGTGAGAAGGTGGGGTTGGGTGATGGGGTCAGGGTCAGAGATGGGTGTTGTTTGGTGATGGATGCGTGGGGATGGGTGAGAAGGTGGGGTTGGGTGATGGGGTCAGGGTCAGAGATGGGTGTTGTTTGGTGATGGATGCGTGGGGATGGGTGAGAAGGTGGGGTTGGGTGATGGGGTCAGGGTCAGAGATGGGT